ACACACTCTGAGACCCACTTGTTGCATCACTCACTCACTCACTCACTCACTCACTCACTCACTCACACTCACTCACTCACTCACTCACTCACTCACTCACCTCCAGCTCGTCCTTGGAGGCTGCATCCAGCATCACCAGGTCCTTCAGGAAGGTTCCGAGGTATGGGACGACACCCTGGGGTCAGGAGTCAGGCTCAGACACCCCTGACCGGATGTGCGGGTCCTCCACTCCCCCTGCTACTCCCCTGCCCTCCTGCCTGAGAGGAAATTGGGTTCCATCTCTCAAGCCGCTCCCTCACCCGGCCTTCCCGCCCCAGCACAACCACCCACCGCTGATCACTCACCCCGCCCCGGGAGCCAGACCTCGGGGACTTCTTGGAGCTGGGCTCCAGAGGGGGCTGCAGCTTCCCCTCCTGGTGGTGAGAGAGGACAGGGAAGGAAGGGGCGTGGGGGGGGTGGTGGTGGCCAGGAAGAGCCGGGCACAGCAGGAGCCAGGGTGTACCTGAAGGAGCAGTTCTCGGCTCTGGGAGTAATTATCCTCTTCGGAGAAAATGTGACAGAGTCCGGAAAAGACTCTCAGGCTGTCCCTGGGGGGCGGAGGGTGTGACTGTGCGGCCAGGCCAGGCTCGTCACCTCCTGCCCAGCCCTGGGAGACCCCCAGCCCATCGGGGGCCCCAAGCTATCCACCTGGCTGCTTCCCCCCAGGCTGCCCGAAGCCTGTGGACAGGGCTGGACTGCAGGGCCGACACAACGGCGTAAACAGAAGAGAAGTTTCGGAGGAGGCGGCACTCCTGCAGGGGGGTTCACAAGCCACGTCACAGAGGGGGCCTCTGGCTGGGGGACCCCTCTCCTCACCATGGTCCCCAGCAGGGCAAGCCCTCTTGTGGACCTCTGCCACACGGATCCACTTCTCCAGGAGCCGGGCCCTCTGTGGTGGGCGCAGTGGCCGTACGGTCACCTCCTCAAGCCCCTCTCCGGCCGAGGTGGCCCCCAGGACAGAGCTGACCACTGCCCCTGCCACCTTGTTGAACTGGGTGACAGTGGCCCGGACAGATGGGCAGAGGTGGGAATGTCCCGGCCGGTCTCTGTGACCCCACAGGCCTCCCAGGCACTGAGAGGGGACCAATTTGAGGAACAGCTCCTGCAGGGCAAACGTTAGAAGTTAAAAGTTTGGGGTCAAGGGAAGTCAGCCTTCTAACAGCAGGGGTCAGAGGGTCTCAGATGGCCAAGGAACCAGTGGACATTAAAGTTTGAAAGGGCAGCAACCCAGGGGACCAGGGGAGGCTAGGAGCTGGGGGCAAGGGAGGGGTCTGGACTCAAGGAGGGTTAGTAAGGGGGAGAGGGCATAGGGGTCAGAGATCAGGGTCTCACCGCATCTAGCAGGGTCAGCTGTTCGGCCAAGTGGTCAGCGAGGAACACCAGGACATCCGTGGGGTCAGCAGGGGGGTCGCCGGGGAGGGCCAGGGACTTAGGAAGGTCGGGGGCCTGGGGGTCCACCCGGGACCGGAGTTTGCGGATGAGTTCTGCGCTGCCCCCCCCAGCACCCTCCCCTACTGCATACCCGGTCCGAAGGAAGAAGCTCTCAAGCCGGTCAAGCTGACCCTTGACCTCAGAGCCAAAATCCTCAGGGTGAGAGGCCAGCCAGGTTGACAGGACAGAGATGGCTACCCTGGGGGAAGGGGGATCAGCCAGGGATCAAAGGTCAAACTGCAGCTTGGGCAGAGGGGGTTGAGGGGGTTAAGAATCCGAGGTCACTCACCCTGTTGTCCTCTCGAGTTCATCGGTAGGATGAGACTCAAGGGCTTCCAGCCTGAAGAGAGGAAGAAAATCCTCCTGTCCCCCTTTTCCAAACTCCCTGCGGCCTTGGCCATTTTGGAAGGCTCTAGTGGTCTGGCTCGAAGAGGTCCAGACCCTTCCACGGCCCCTGGTCCCTTATGATCCCTGACCTGTCAGCTATGAGCCCCAGCAGAGCAGGCGTGGAGGTGAAGGCCCGGTGGGTGGCCAGGAAGGTCGGGGTGAAGGTCACGTCAGCCCCTGAAGTCCGGGCATCCAGCAGATGTCTGACCAGGGCCTGCAGAGTGCCGGCCCGGAGACGTCGGGAGGCACGCGGGGGAGGTGTGGGGGCCTAGGAGAGAGAGCGCCAATCACTGAGCTTTCCCTCGCCCCAGACCTAGGCCATGGACCAGAACTGCTCAGGAGAGATTCAGAGAGGCCAACACACTTGGCCGAAGCCCCACAGCAGAGTGCAGCTCTCCAGATGTCTGGCCTGGCGTCCTGCAAGCGCAACAGGGAGGTGAGGAGTCGGAGGTAAGAACTCAAAGTCATGCTCTCACCAAGGGTGCAAGAGGCCGGTATTGGCGGCTCGAGACCGTGAAGGTGGAATCTTCCTCTTCCTCATCCCAGACAGACACTGGGGCCTAGAGGAACAAGGAAGAGGTCAGACAACACCACACCATCCCCCCAACTCCCCATCCTCACCCGCAGGCCCATCCCCCTCTGTACCCTCACCTGCGATGGTGGGGGGCAGTACCAGCGTGTGCGAGGGGTTGGGGGGGCTGGTGGCCCCAGGTCTCCCCCACTGGGGCCCAGACAGCCTCCCCCTAGCTGTCTAAGGGCCCGATGGAGTCGATGGGGTTGCAGTGGGGGGGTGCTCGACCTATAGGAATGCTGATCCCAGAGACCCCCAGATCTGCTTCCCCCCAGAGCTGAACCCCAACACAATGGAGAAGCAGGTTGCAAAGGCCAGGAGGGAAAAGCGAAGGTGGGTGAGCGCCACAGGCAGAGACTTACAGAAGCCGAAACCTGGGCAGAGGCACGGCAAAGGCTCCGCCTCCCCCGACCCACCCAGGGAGGGGCCCAAGCCCAAGAATCAGCCCTGCTCCTGGACGCCCTTGTCCCAACGTTCCTCAGGTGGGGACCCCACTCTCTGGCAAGGTTCTGGGGGTTTCCACCTAAAGTGGCGGCTCCAATCCCAGCACAGGAAGAAGGGGA